ACCAATCGTTGACTACCGGCGCCACCGACAGCGCCCGCCGGTGGTGTACGTGTCCGGTCGGCCGCCCTCGGCAGTGGGTGAGCAGTAGGCGGTGGGATAACTGCCAGCGTAGGCTTGGCTAGAGGTGCCTGACCACCCCATGTGCCCGACCCTTGGCCCGAAGCCATAGCGGTGGCTACTGGTGCCGGCGCCGCCGGTTGTGGGAATCTGTACGGACGGCCCACCTGTGCGCTACCGCCCGCTGCGATACCGGCACCTGTTCCCGGCCTCACCATCGGTTGCACCTTCTTGGGCAACACCTTTACCCACCATGGCTGTATCGCTGGTCGGGTTGGCTGGGCTACCGGTGCCGGTTGAGTCATACCTGGCGGGTAGGGTACACCTGCTGGCCATTGGCCGCCCCCATACACCCGTTGTGGCTGCGCTGCCGCCGTTGCACCCCTGCCCTGTGCCGGCGCGGCTGCCGGTGCTTGTGGTCGAGTGGGTCGCGCTTTTGTGCCCCAAGTGTCTGAACCCGAGTCCATTGGGTTGTGTTTTTTGTTTGTGTGCTTTTGTTGTGTAAAGTAATGTCTGTTTTGTAATTGTCTTAACACTGGATCTGATGTGTGAAACGATTTTTTGTGAGGCGAATGTCTGGTATAACGAGTAGTGTTTGTATTTCTGTGTGTTTTGTAAGTTTTTGTTTCAATAATAGATTTTTTAAGTTTTTTTCAATTTTTTCTTGAAATCATAATTTAAAAGTTTAATTGTTTTTTACACACTGTTTGTTGCAATTTTAAATCCTCTTGGATTTACATGTATTATGTGTTGTTATTATGATGGTATTATTGTGCGAGAGAGAGAGAGAGAGAGANTTTCATTTAAAAATTCTTTTCATGTAATCCTCAGTGAATTCCCGGATCACAAAATCGCTGCACTTTCTAAGGTTAAGAGAATTTGAAGCTTTTAGAGATATTTTGTTTTACATTTTTAAAAATATTATTGAATAAAGACTTTTTGATATTTGCATAAAACTTTAATTTTAATACACTTAAACCTCTCTATCTCGAACTGGTAAAATTGATTGGAATTAAAATTAATCTAAATATTAAATAATAAGTTATCACATTTAAATCACAAATATTTGTATAAAGTGTGCATATTTTAGAGTTTGTAAAAAGTACTGTTCTGTGCAGTGAAAGGTATTCGGTCTGTGAAAATTGTTTGTTCTAGTTTAGTTTTTATTTACAGAGGGTTCGAGATATGGAGAAGTAAGTGTACACAGTTCATTAAATTGCTGTTTTTTCATTTGCTTGCAATATAAATTAAACTACTTTAGTATAAATATAATATAAAGCTAGAATTTAAATTTGATTTAAATTATGCTCAAAAAAGCAAATGTATGCGCAAATAATTTAGATAATTTATACATTTAATGTATATTGGTTATAAAACGTTATCATCATTTAAAACATTAAACATTTTAATAGAAGAGTTGATTATTTATAAAAAGTTTTAGAAAATATATACAGTATTGTACGACAGTTTGTCTCTTACAAGTTAGTGGACTAAACAGAGATTCATATAATGTCATACATTTACATTTACTTATGCATATACTTATGTACTTTACATTTTAAAATTCTGTATCATATGATTTATATTAGGAATAGTGAGATCTAACACAATAAATGTCAAATTGAAGACATTGCGAGATGCATTGGTATATGTTATTTAAGTAAATTGGATAAAAATTACAATTTTATTGAATAATTCAATCATGATAAAACTCCGTTATTGCAAATCCTGTGTTATTAAATCAATATTATAACTTAAAACTTAAAACAAGGCTTAAATTCATTTAAATATTTTGTTAGATATTATATAATGCAAGGAATGGGCCTAATATATTTCTTGATTTTATGAGATAATCATGGTATTAGTAAACGTATTTGATCTATGTAAAGAATATTTTGTCTATTCAATGTTGTTCAATGAATTGAGTATTTTCATTTCAATGACGACGAAATAAGATTACCTATAAATAGCAAACTTATAAATTGCAGTAACACTAGAGTCGCATCATTTCGTTTTGAATTAGCGGAAAAAATATTTGTACAATAATTAACATATTGTTTGCTGATTAGTATACAGTTTTCATTTCAATTGTTTAACAACACTATTTTCAAAAGCTGTATATAATTTAAAGTAAAGCTTTAAATTTACTATAACCTAATTTGTGAGCCAAATTGATTGCTAGATAAGTTAGTGATATGTGGCATCTTTTATCATTTATTATTAATCATATTTAATATAAATAAAAAGCTAACAAAATATTTTTATTTCTTCTGACATTTGTGAATAAAAATCAATAATTTTGTTGACAAAACCAAATCAAAAGTAACAATTATTCTGAAGTATAGGTTTACAAGTTTTAGCACAAAATTCGGAAACACACTAATGAATCGCTACCAGAATAATGATAGCAAACAGATATATTATCGATTCAATCAGGAATTAGTGATTTTTAAAATAGTAGTTCATTACTTTAATGTTTTTTCCAATCATCCCTCCCACTCTCATTCTCCCTTGGTCATTTTATCATTAACTGTCTATCCCACAACCAATCGCATCTATTTAATCAATGTAATTAATATTCCGCATTTTCATTAGGTTTATTATAATCCATTAAGTTTAATAAACAGTAAACTAAGCCAGGTATTATGTTACACAAACATGAATTATAATAATCAAATTAACAATTGAACATAAGATAGCATGATAAAGTAAATACAACTGTATTTCGATATAAACTTAATTATAACAAATCGGGCACAACTAACGCAATGAATATTTACAGTATTACTGTATAGTATTTGCATTTAGATATTCTTAATATAATGTACTGTATATTTCCGACACAGAGAGAGAGAGAGAGAGAGAGAGAGAGAGATTAAGTAACTTATAAAGTAATACAGACTGTAAATTTATTTCAAATCTAACATTTTATAAAACATAACATTTATTTAAACTATTAAATGGGAATTCAAAAAAGAGTCCTTTAGTTTTAAAATAATTATTTTATCATGATCAAATTCATTTATTAATACATAATTTTAAACACAAATACTTTGTTTATTTCTATTAATATTAAATCACGTAAAAATTATTTTGGCTACACATAAACAAAATGCATATATAAATACAGTATAAAGTACATAAACAATGCACAGTATACAATAGTCTTAGTAGTCGGGTGCGGGAGTAGAGGCTGGCTTGACGTGAACCTCGTGTATAACGGGATCGGGAGTACCGGTAATACCGTTCAGTTCACGACTGATAGTCTTAATCAACGGGTGTTTAAGTGGACCGCAATAGCCGTGAAAGTCGTCGGTGTCTATCGACCAGACCATCGCTCCGCCCAAACCCTTGGCCTTCAGGTACGAGAGCTTATCCTGAAATGTCTGCTCGTCGTCATAACCCACCCATTGGTTACCCTTCACGGCGTACACTATCTTTTGGGTCGAGTCCCGATAGGCTGTCCACCCGGCCTTCAAAAACTCGCAAATCTATCGGTTATTGTAGGGTTGGGTTAGATACACATGTAACATTTCATTTTAGTGCATGTTAGTTGGAAATATGGCAAAATAGTTTCTAAATAGTTCACCTCGTTATAGCCCAACGTGCCAACTTCATCAGTATAGGGGCCCTTATCGCCACCCTTACTACCCGGGGCGCACTTGGCACCGATGCCATGGTTGGCGGGATCAGCCAGGGTAAATGAGCGGCCATACGTGGCCATACCCATTATCTAAATAATAGACAATGTAATTAAAGCCTGTATAAGTTACAAACAACTAGTTACCAATTTCTTAGGACTTAAGCCCTGTTTCAGCCAATACTCGACGGCGTACGAAACGGTCAGCATTTTCTGTTTCTCATCGGCCTTAGGGTCGGCATACAGGGGCGCGTTGTGGCCTATGTATTACGTATACAGTATTAACATTATGGTGAAACCAGTATAACCTTGAACGCTCCAACCCCTCCAACTACTAACCTGTCACCTCCTCCCAGGCTCCGCCGTGAAAATCATAGGCCATTACGTTCACAAAGTCCAACAGTTGGTCCAACTCTTTCACATCGTAGGACACGTCGATCGTGGGTTTGCCGGCACTGACCGCCGCAGTCAACAGATAGTTATGCGGTTTGAGTGCCGCCCGGAGTTCGCGCAATAGTGTCACAAAGTTTTCCTTGTCTTTCGGGTTTCCCGGCGTCCGGTCCTCTTCGCCGCTGGCCTTAAAGCCCGGGTATTCCCTGTTTTTGGTCCGTAAAAAACATATGGTAAAAACGTTGGCTTTAATAACCAGGTGTTGTATTACATACCAGTCCACGTCCAGGCCGTCAAACTTATTCTCCTTCAAAAACGTGAGCACCGATGCGATGAACCGTTTCCTAGAGTCCGGACTACTGGCCATTTTTGAGTACTTGTCTGAGCCCTCATTCCAGCCGCCGATCGATATGAGGGCCTTCAGGTCGGTGTTCACATCGCGCAAGTGCTCAATGCGACGATACATGCCTTACAAACATATAGATCATGATTATTTGCTTTTCAAATTTAACCATGGTCCATTTAATA